ATCACTGCCTTGGATAGTCCCATCGACCCTTGGGGGTCAATATTGACCACTTTGGAGTACCTACTCCTGTTTTTTTTTAATGTTTTTTTAAGTTGCTTATCACATGTTAAAGTGTCATATTAAATACAGATCATCAATGTATTAGAAATCCTATGATGTGAACAAAGGACTCTGCTAGTAGCAGTGGAAGTTTCCTGCTGTTGATCCATGTTCTTCCTTATCCAGGACCACACATTAATGCCCTTAAAATCCTAGACTTCTTGTTACTTATTCACTATATTCTGCTTAATTTTTCAACCCAATGTTTTATCAAGAACCACTGCTGATATAATCAAAACATTTCTTCCTCTTAGAGCTTCTTCTTTCTTTATTTTTTATTCCTTCCTAGGACTGGTTAAAGGCAGGAACTGTGCTAGTTCTGTTATAGTTGTTCTACAGATCACTCTAAAGCCTGTTTTTCATAAAGGGAGACAATAAGAGTAGCAGCATTTTATATTTCTCCAGAAATGATTCACAGTCTCATGACCTGTCTCCCAAATTTAGCAGCAGTACGTTGAATGGCTACTACCTTGGAGCCAGTTGGGCTGCAACATGGATGGTTCCAATATTCTTATTCATGACACAGAGAAGGTTCAAATGATTTGCATGGATCAACTAATTTTAAAACATATTTATTTATAACTTATGGGTTTATAACTATTTCTTTAGTAGATTCATTTTAAACTTGTAGTTGCAATCTTGTAAAAGTACCTTTTGGTTCTTCAGGGTTAACTACTTAAGTCCTGACATAGCCTTTTCCCTGTTTTTGGAAACCTCTAAGCTCTCCCTTTAGAATTTTTACTACAGCCTTATTTTCTCTACCCTGAATAATGCTATTAAATAATCTTAAAATCATTGCTGTAGCCTGTATTTCAACTAATTGGTTTTTGGTTAATTCACCAATTTTATCCTGCAATGTATTACATTCTTAATTTGTTGCAAACCTTCACATTTCTGACTGCAGAAACAGTAAAAGTTTCTTCCTGTCATTAGCCTTTTTAGTACTAATACTCATATTCATCCAAATTGCCCGCATATCACTTTGCATTAAGATAGCTCTGTCCTGCCATGGTAATATTGCCAGCTAGAGTACTTTACAACAAATGGGAAAGGGAAGCCCTTTTATTTGTACCAATGTTGTGGATACCTCCACTTCAGCAGACTGATTTTCCTTAAATACTTTCTTAAATATGTTTGCATATGTCAAATCTCCCCCTCTCCACAATTATCCACCATGTACGATGCACAAAGGAAGACTGAACAATTCAACCACTAATCTATTATTCTTCATCTTTTATGTATTTTATTATTATTAAACCTATAAAGAAGCATAAATAACAGATGACACAGCATAAGCAAAGTTTCTTACAAGCATAAACAGTTCTAAATATACTTGTGTTATGCTTTTAGGTAGCTAAGCAAAATGACCAAAACAGAAGAGATGAGCTAGCTTGTTTATTTATTTATTTCTTTAGGTCATTTATATGGCTGCTCATTATAAACAAGTAACCCTGGGTGGCTAACAACCATTACAAAAAACAATATTATAAAACCAATATAAAACAAAACAAAATACAATTAAAAATAAGCCTAATAAAATAATAAAGGTGCCACAGCAAAACACGTCAAATAACTCAAACGCTAAAACACAAGTATCGGGCTCTGCTAATATCTTGGCCGCAAGATCTGAGAGGAAAACCAGGTCTTCGTGGGCTTACAAAAGGGCAGTAGGTTCAGAACCTGCGTCCCAAGTGTTCCATGATAAATTCCCCTTTGCTTCACTACCAGTCCTGGCAGAAGTGTTTTATGTGCATAAAGTATAGATGTCCTTGGAAGGCCTCAAAGCATCTGCACCAAGTTTTTAGGAGGATGTAGTAACCGTAACACTTGAAAAAATGGCTTTCAAGGGGTTCTTCACTCACAAGCCAATCAGCCTTCTAAATTATTGATATAATCCCAGTACATAAGGCTCTGTAGAGCTGACTTCACATCTTTCCTGTTCTAAACAAAGCAAGAAATCCTGAATAAATTAGGGTTTTGTTTTGTTTTGTATCCAATTATATGTTCCTTTTAATTAAAATTTTAATTAAATTTTCAAGGTGCTAGAGCTGGTTGTCCTGTCTTTGTGCTAGTTTTGAGATAGGCAAAACAAATGAGTTGGCCTCTCTCATCAAATTGTGCTAAAAGTGCTAGAGTTCTTGTGATCTGTGATGAAGATTTCTTTAGCTCCTAGCCAGAAAGTCATGATTGAATAGTAATGCCCAGAATTTTCAGCCAGGAGGGCTTTTGGCTTTGCTGATTGAATTTGGAAAATTCTAGTCCCAACATATATAGAAAACAAGTTGGGGAACTATATCCAGGATAATTTGAACTTTCATGGAAAATTTTGGCTGAAGCTGACCAACTGGAGTCTAGGAGCTTATGTGTAATCCCTGTTTTCAAATGTTGCTTGGTATCAGTTCCTAACTTCACCTGGTAGTACATCATGGTAGTCTAAAGGAAGGGTGATATGCTGCTAGCAATGTCTCACAAGGAGAATCAGTGCAGGCAATTTCTTTATACAAATATTCCCATAGCAATGTGAGAAGAAGCCATTGTATAAAATATTCTCATGCTGATATCAAGTAAATGTAAATTAAATCTTGGAAACTAATTTAAGACAGGCAACTAATGCATATATTTCAGGCATTAGTTAATATTCAGGGGACTAAGTTCAGAGGGGTAGCTTGTAAATATTCCATTTTAATTAAAGAAGAATCAGACTTTCATTAGGCCTTATTTTCATATTAGAACTTGCATACTTAATGAGGAAAGGATTTTACATAACAGTTAAGTGAATTGCAAAAAATGTTTGTTCATGCCATCCAAGTTCTAGACATTAATTGTAGATGAAACTTATTATACAGGCATACATTTTTGTTTATTTTAGGACTTCATGGTATATTCTTAAAGTACAAATATAATGGGCAAACTATAAATATAAAGGCATGGAATCCCAAAACTTAGTTTTGACCAATTGTGGGAAAATTTCTCACTATGAGCTAAATTCTTGGGCAGAATTATTTATATTATTTTTGTAGGCTTCTAGATGAACAATCTTTCATACAGACAAGGGGACTACAGGTTGCCTTACCGAAGGTCCCCTACCAATGTTTTAGCTCATTCAGTTAAGAAGCTTTTTCAAGATTATCCAGACAGCTTGTTGGTTTCATAAACTCTGAAAGACATGGTGGATTATTAGCTAGATTGCTTAAGAACTTCATGATTGTTTGGAACTATAAAAACCCCTTGTGGACTTTTGTGCAGTTCCAGCTAATATTCAGAACTTGGAAGAAAAATTCCTGAAAATTTGAGCGGAGAGTTGTCATAATCTGATTAAATTAAAAAAAAAAAAAAGATAATGGAAGCAAAACCAAAACTTTTTTTTCTGCTTAACTCTACAATCGCTTAAAAGAATATTAGCAAAGATTTAACAAAATGGAAGTCTTGATGTAAAATACATGCTGTATATATAAATAATCACAGCTAGAGATATGTGTCTGTGAGCTTTAAAGCTCCACTCAATCAGACCTTCTAGTTTATAAGACATATTTCTCTTAACGCATTTGCTTTTGTACTCAGTTTATTTTCTGCCAGAAGCAGGTGGAAAGGTAGATTTATTTTCTCCTACCCTCTCAGAGTTATTTACTGGTCAGCTCGGTATTGGAAACATTCTACAAGTAGTCCTTGCTTAACAACCACAATTGGGGCAGGAATTTAGGTCACTAAGCAATGCAGTTGTTAAGCGAATCATAACATGACCAGAATCAATTTTACGATCTTTTTTGCAGCAGTTGTTAAGTGAATCACCGCATTGGTTAAATGAATCACATGGTTGTTAAGTGAATCACGTGGTTCCCCATTGATTTTGCTTGCCAGAAGCCAGCTGGGAAGGTCGCAAATGGCAAACACATGACCCCGGAATGCTGCAACCATCTTAAGTGTGAGCTGGTTGCCAAATGCCCTGATCACGATCACATGACCGCAGGGTCACTGTGACCATCATAACTTTGGGCACTGGTCGTAAGTCACTTCTTTAGCATTGTCATAACTTCAAATGGTTGCTAAATGAATGGTCATTAAGCAAGGACTACCTGTATAGATATAATTCCTTCAGTGAAAAGATAACTATACGAACGGTATTATTATTATTTTTTAATCCTTTTTTCTTCATTTGTCCAGGGACCTTATTAAAAAGCTTCTTGTGGTTGACAGAACAAGACGAATAGGAAACATGAAGGTATGCTTTTAAAAAGAGTCTTTTCATTACCTCAGTTCATTAAGGAAACGTTTCTCTACTCAAGAACAAATGTCAAATTATTAAGATATGTTGTGGGGAGAGGGACTTACAAGTATTTTCATTATATAAAAGCTGTAAGACTCTTTCAGCCATGGGTAAATTACTGTTTTGTATTTGATAAGATTTTAGCAATGTGATATTTTCACTTTAAATGTAAAATTGAAATAAGTTTTCAAATTTACATGGGATAGAGGCATATTGCAACCTGGATGCATTGGAATGCAAATTCTATAAACTAGTCAGTTTTTCCCCCTAAAGAAGCAATATTTATTTTCATCAGGTAATTTTTTAATGTATACTACATGCCAAACAGAAGAACTAAATATAAATACTTCTACAATGGATACTGTGCAGTAATACATATTAATACTGTGGATTTCAGCCATCCAAGCCCTATGCCTTAAGCCTTGCTTCTTATATTTAGAAATAGTTAACACTGATAAAACTTGGCACAAAATAATTGCAAGCTTACTTAATTAATGTACTTTGGGCATGGCCCATTGCAGTATAGTAGATAGATTGGTAGAACTTTATATCCTTACTGAGCATTGAAGCTTGCAAATCCCGTTCATGTAAGTAATACAAAAGTCACATTAGCTCATTATTCTTTATCTAAAGAGATTAGAGAACATGTAAAATCCTTAAGGACACTGCATTTTTTTTTTCATGCAGCACATTTGGTCCTGGATTTTGTTCAATACCAGAAAAATTGGTCAACTTGAACAGCATGCCTTCAAACTACAGGTGGCAGAAATCAGTGGCCCATGTCAGTATATAGAGTTTATGCCATAACATATTCAGGGACTTTCTTGCATTAAATAAACTTTTTTTTTCCCAAAGAATGGAGCTGATGATGTGAAGAGACACCGATGGTTCAGGTCTATAGACTGGGATGCTGTACCACAGAGGAAATTAAAGGTGAAGTGCACAAAAACAGATTCCATTTTGGAAGAAATACATTCAAGAAATATTTATTTAATTAATATGGTGGGGGTTGTGTTTAAAAATCTATGTGAAAAAAACCCTAATATGGCCTAATATGTCATGTCTGAAGATAAACTTGTTTACATGGTGAATCTGCCATTCTGATGTCCCATGTACATCTGCGCTCCACGTGCAGATTTCTCCTATGAGTAGCCAGAGGGCACAGCTTCCAAACCACCCATTCATGGTTGAATAATTTGTCCAAATGTAGGACAGAATCTTTCAGGTTATTTGTTACAATTAGAATATTGCAAAATGTAGTTTCATCCTGTAATTTGAAGCAGCTGGAAATAAGGTGCACATTGCATAGAGATGGAATCTTTAATTACCAAATTACAGATAGGTGGAAGAAGCCAGCAGAAGAATGCAATTGCTGTGTTGCACATTCACTATTTAAGTATTTCATGATTAATTACAACATGCAGTTGTAGTCATATAATTACTCTGCCTAGTTATGGTCAGCAGGTCCAAGCTTTTATATTAAATCCATAGTCTTTGGATGTAATCTTCTTAAAAACACACATCAATTATAATATTATTTTGTGTATTTATTACATAATTTATATCCAGCTTAACTCAATAGAAGCCAGGTGGCATACAATAAAACCCAAACTCAAAATAACAATCATGCTAAAAGCCAGAACTAATAAACCAAATAAAGTTAACAATTTTTTTTAAAAAGCAATAAGTAAAATTATCATTGCAACATTAGGCCCCAGTGGTAATTTTCCATTGGATTGTATTTCCTGTTTTGTACAAGCTAATTGATCTAATGTATAACTAGATCATTAGCATACTAATGGTATCTTAACCCAGACTGAAGGATGATTTCTTCCAGCAGTTTTGTGTAGAAGCTGAACAATATGGAGGAAGAGGGCACCCCACAAATGAATAGCCAAGTTGAACCACTCTTCCCCTTATGACCACCACTTGGAACTACCCAGTCAAGAAGGAATGGAACCACTGCAGAATAGTGTTTTCTGCCTCCAACTTTAACAAGTGGTCCATACCATGCTTGATGGTATGGGATTAAAAACTGTGTAGACTTCTAACAGGATCAAAAGATTTGAATTCCATCCATCCGTGTACCAACAGAAGTCATCCACAACAGCAAACAGTTCCATCTCACACTTGGGTCTGAAACTTGGCTAGAAAGGATCAAGATCTACCAGTTACAAAATTCCTCAGAACAAGTAATAATATTCTTATATAACTTAAACTCATCCCAGATGCTATTGTGCCATAGAGTCTCAAAAAAGTAGGGCAAAATACAAATTTCAAGACTCAGCTTCACATGAGATTATATTTGTTTACTCAAAACTTACTTTGTTGTTTCATTCAGCCTCCTATAGTGCCGAAAGTATCAAATGATGGTGATACATCTAATTTTGAAGCTTACCCTGAAGATGACTGGAACAAAATACCACCAGTACCTCCTAAAGATTTAGAAATTTTCAAAAACTTCTAAATGTGTGATACAACAAGTCATTAAGGTATTAGATACTTGTCTTCCGAAAGCACCATTTTTATAAGCCAATGTATTTACAGTCTTAATGTTAAAATCTTTACATTGTTGCATGTAATTAGTTTATAGAATCGCATACTGATTTTTTAAATTAAAAATAGAAGGAAAAAATGCCTTAAGATTCCATTACTGTCTTTTAATAAAAATATAATATTAATACAATGTTCTGGAATTATTTTGGCTATTGTGAAGACTGGATAGATTTCTTCTATAGGCACAACTGCAATTTATTAGATGGCTTGTATTTTGCATTTTACATTGTATAAAAAGAAGTATAAATCTCTGCACATGGTAGTTAAGGATCTAAAATCTTATTTTCTGAGCTCTAATGAAAAAAGTTAAATATTTACAACGGAATACCAATACATTGAATATTTATTTTTATTTATTTGCTAGAAATTGGAAGAAGATTGATGTGATAGGTGGGAACTGGAAAAGAAGAACAGAAAATACTTCCAAAAATGTCTTGAAAATGAATATTACTACATTATGCATAGATTTTTTAAAAAGAAATAAGGTTAAAATTTGAAAAATAGATAATAATCATCTTCAGTAGTATAGAATTGGCATTAGTTCAGTTTTAAAAAAGTACTGAAGCACCTACCCTGATGTGTAGATATTGAAATTATAGGGTTTTTAAATTCAAAGTTAGATTTGTTTATTGCCATGCCCAAATTTATTTGCATAGTTACTTCATACACTAATTATGTAAGTTTATACTAAAATTGCCCTTTAAAGCACAAGTTAGTATATATGTATATAATGAAATCAGTACATCTAAAGCACAGAAACTGTGCAGAAATGTAAATTTTTGTATTTTACAGAGTCTATGGTTTTTATTCTTAAATGTTTTCCAAGATGCTGCCTAGAAGTAAAAGAAATCTTGAAATGATACTTGTTTCAGCATCTTCTATACATTTTATAATTCTTTGTAAAAAGAAATATACACATAAATTTTGAGAAAATTGTAACATTTCCAGTGCTTTACACCTGCAGCCATACATCTTGAAAGCTGAAAGATAAAAAAGACCTTGTGCAACATATTGTACTATTTTCCCCTTTCAGTATGCATGGTATTGTCTTTACAAAGTTATGTTAAAGTGATGTGGCTGTATATCCTAATTCTTCATGACTGCATACTATGTAAAAGGTATTTTTGTTCATTCCTTATTTTTAAGAAATTATAGCAAAATATAGTGAAACAAGTGTTGTTGATGGGTCTAGGGTCTGTTACTGTTTCAGGTTACTGAAGGTCATCAAAACCAAGCTCCGTATCCAAACATAGATTTGTACTCCATTATTGAATAATTGCAAACTTCAGTAGATAAAACAACTTAAGAGCCACAATTGAATGTCCAATGTTACCTGACATTACCTTTAACATGTTCTTTACATAATCAGCTTTAAGTTGGCAGTCAATTTAGTGCCCCTTGGCATTTGTTTGCCTTCGGATATCTACTTTGGCACCTGCCAAGCATCCTACCCACATCTGACATTTTAGAATTCTTTTAATTAAATGCATATACACATATCCATCACGCAATTCCTTTTTGGTTTAAGTAACTTTATGCAAAGCTGCAGGAAAAGGGTGAGAAGCAGTGAGCAAAATAAATTAAAGGCAGGAGATAAAAGAAGAAAAAGAAATCTAAATGTTTATTAAATAGAGAAGAGGCTGTTTTAAAGCAAAGTCTGAGATTCCAAAATAATTTTTATTCCCAAGATATGGCACCTTTTGGTCCCACATATACTCTACATCTATAGGGATTCTTAAAATATAAAAATGGGTGGGATAGTGGCAGCCCAGTGTATTATTTGGAAATTCACCCACTTGCTCGTGTGCAAGGGAGTTGTTTTAAAAGCACACTCTCAAAAATTCAAATGAGTCTACTGGGCCAGAAATTTGCCTGCCTCTGTATCATCACATGAATTTTTAGGGGATGAACATCTGTGAATTCTTCTGAAACTGAATATTCTGCATTTTAAACCTCTATAAATGAGAATAACTCGTGCAATTTGTCCTGCCAGAATAAACCACAAAAGTAGAATATAAACTGCAGTGTAAAAATATACATTTATTAACATTAAGCTAAGGATTATTAATCTGCATTGTTCAAAGCAATACTACTATTAGGGCTTTGAGCTTACCCAGCTTCCAGATAATCTACCTATGTATGTTTAGAAGTTGTTTTAATATCCTTATTAAACTACTGATTCTTCTTCCCTTACTTGATATCACATTGGTAATAGTCTGTACGTATGGGAATTCTCTACTTTTGACATTGATTTTTATGAACTTCGTCCGTAGACCATGGCTGTGATTGGCTTGAAGCCAAAGCACTCCAATAACCTCAGCTACCACTTTTTGTGGAGACTGAGTATGTTTCTAAAGTGCACGTTTAGCGACCGTTCATAGTTATGATGGGGAGGAAAAAGCTTTGCAACCAATCTTCACATTTATGACTTGCAGGTCTGTAAAGCAAAGGAAAGCTGAAATAAGATCATAAGCACAGTTGCTGTTTCACTTTGCAACCACTTTGCTTAATGACCGAGTTGTCAGTTTCAATTGTGGTTGCTAAACGAGGACTGCCTGTAGTATCCCGATGGTCTTACACATAGCAGTAGGTGCTTTTCACTTACACAGCTTCCTGTCATTTCCCCAGTAGCAAATTAATTTATTCAAGTGGCTGCTATGTTGCTTCTGTGTCTGCTGATTCTTAATGTATTTCATTTGTGTGTCTTAATGAGGAAGCTGGGGAGTGAGCCATTAAGCAACAGAATGGATGCATGAAGTCAATTTTTTATGTGGTAATTATGTGGTCTTCCTTAAATTTCTATATTATGCATTCAATTGTCCTGTTTTTAAAAATGCAAAAATAGTGTTTACAGTCAGTGTTGTAAATAGAACTGTGCACAGCATTCAAAAAGTGCATCCTCAAACCATGAAGGAAGCTAGTTTTCCCAAAACATTTAGCATGGGTGTTTCAAGGACTTTTCCAGCGTGCCTTCATATCCGTATGCACGCATTGCTGGCTTGCTTCACCTGCATTCCCAAAAGGAGTGGAATTAATGTCCAAGTGGTGCCTCGGTGCTTTTCTTCAGAACTGGAAATGGCATTTCTATACCACCAGACATTACCCAAGTAGTGAACAAAAATGATAATCATACCAATAAGAGAAACTCACATAAAAATAAAAACATATTGAAGAATTAAAACAATACAAAAAAATCTAAAGGCCAAATCACAAAGTGGCATGTGCCTAAAATTCCTTTTCAAATCATTTTCCTTAGTTTTGGAGTGAAAGCATTCCATAATTTCAGAATGATACAAAGCTATCAAATGGCCATCTTTGAGTGATGGTATCTCAAAAGGGCAGATCTTAATCAAAATGGGATGGGCAGTGTCTTGATTAGCAATGAAGCTGTTTAGAGCTTTTAAAGACTGTAATAGTTCATCAAGACAATTATCATTAAACACACAGCAATTACTCAGTTGAGAATAGACATCTGCTATGAGCAATATTTCCACTCATTATGAAGTTAATTTGAATTTACATCAGTGCTACATTTTATAATCTGCATACAAGACCACTGCTCTACTGGGGGCAACAGAAAGCCTTGTAACAATTTGATAGTGTATATTATGCTTATGAAAACAAAATGAATGCTAGCTTCTTTTAAATCACCCTAGAAACAGACATGTTTTATTAGAACTAATAATTCTTTATGGTTGTTTATACTTCAAGCAGAAGGTTTTTTGTTTTTTTACATCAGGAAAACATTTGTGATAGACCGGTAAGCAGGGTCAAAGCAACTAACAATTAGGACTTTCTAAACAACCTGTATAAATTTCTATCTGGCTGTTTTCATATCTACCAGAGGTTATCCTGTAAATTTATCCAATATTTGTGAGTTTGAGTTTTAAGCAAGGTTATGTGTATAAAAACGTTAATCTATCAAAATTAGGTACTAAGCCAAGTTTAGCTAAAGGACCAGATCTTGAAAACCACATAAATAAATATAGCAAGTAATCATGTTGATGTATGGAAGAATTAAGATCCAGTACTGCTGATATGGCACAATTTTTCAGCTTTCAAGAAATGTAGCATGATTCCATTGTACTGTACTATGTACAGATATCCTATATTTTGCACTTTTCTATGGCAAACAACTGCTTTATAAATACTGATGTACAGTTAAATAAGTTTCATCTATGTATAAAACCAAACTGATAATATAAAATATCCAAGGCTAACTGATATCAGAGAGGTTGCCTGCAAATTCTGTCTCTAGTGTAAAAATCTGTACAAATACATAAGTCAGTCTTCATTGCACAATGAAAATCACTGTGATTTGTAAATAAAATTCAGTCCAAAAATACTTCTGCTGTTTAATGTTATATTATGATTAATATTATATTAAATATATACAATTCCTACTTACAGAAAGCAGCTTACAATAACAAAATAAATGTATGTGCATAGTAATGGATCAGGAGACTGCTCACAGATACTCATACTTCAGTCATCTCCTTATACTGCAATGCACTGTACATGGAGCTGCTCTGAAGACCACCCAGAAGCTGCAGCTGGTCCAGAATGCAGCAACTTGGGCAGTTATGGGTGCACCATGGCACACCCATGTTATATCTATGCCAGCTGCACTGGGTCCCAATGTGCTTCCAGATAGAATTCAAGGTGTGGGTTGTCACCTATGAAGCCCTTCATAGCATGGGGCTAGATTATGTGCAGGGCTGCCTCTCCCCAGTTGCTTCTACCTGTTCCACTAGGCCTGGTAGGTGTAAGGTTTGCCCCGTTCGACAGAGAAACTCCCGTGACACGTGTGGTTCACAAAAGAGGTTTACTCA